AAGCTCTGCGCTAAGGTCTCGCAACAACCCAAGCAGCACAGACAGGGTTTGGTCTCTGCCCTGTGGGGGGCGGCAGAATCTGAGCATTAGTTTTGCAGATCATATAAAACCAAGAATAACGTCTTTAATTATCACCTGTTCACCCGTATCACCTGAAAGGCTGAAGATGGGCGATAAAGATGTTTGTGTGTTGGTTAGTTGTACCTGTTTTTCTTTGACGTTGCTCCACCGATGAAGGATCCAAAGTATCTGCAGCGACAGCTGCATCGTTGGGTCCTTGCAGCTGTTGGCAGCGTCTCGTTGTTTCACTTCTTTTGTTTTCTGTTTCTCTTCGAGGTGCTCCTTTTTATTCTCTAACTCCTTCATATTTTTAAAACTTGTGCAGAGGAAGGAGGGGGTGCATAAATCCCAAGTCACTTCCTCCTTGAGAACTCCATTTCTGTGTTCGTCTTCTCCTGTCAAGAACAAGTTCACCTTCCCAATGAAAGCCAGCAGCATGACCTGCAGAAGGTCCAGGGCCTCGAGTAAAGAGCCCTGAGGTTTACCATTTGTGCTCAATTCTGTCGGAGAGCTGAAAGGAGGAGGGCTGTGTTCAAGTCTGGATGGGGTCATCAGGAGCTGAATGGCTGAAGTCAAAATGCAGGATTGATCTCTGAGAGCAAGAAGAACTTCATTGTCGACTGCAGTCGTCCCTTTCAATCCTCGGTGAGATGTCTTCTTGGTGTCAGTCCCCTGACCAGTTGAAGGGTCCTGCTCGCCCCCCACAGGACCTTCTCTGACGCTCATCCGGTCCATCTGTGACTCGTGGCACAGCAAAGATCTGTTTCCGGACTCTTCAGTCTGTTGCTGCAGGCAGATCGCAGGTCTGGTTTCCAGGCTGCCCTCTCCATCCTTCATCCTTCCAGTCAGGGGGAGATGTTCCTCTGGAACATCTTCCTCTCCTCCTCCTCCCCCTGATTTCTCTCGGAGGTCACTCATCTCTGCTCGCAGCCCGCGATTCTCCACCTCCAGCTCAACGATTCGCCGGCTCAGCAGCATGGCCTCCTCTTCCAGCAGTTTCAGATGACCTTTGAACTCTGACTCCCTGGAGTGGGCGGAGCCTTGCCTATCTTCAGGCTGCTGGGCAGCGTCTACATCACCAAACTTGGACTGGTACTTGGCCAGCTCGTCGCGCGTGGCCTCGCTCTCCGACACCAGCTTGGTGAGCTTCTTGCACATGAGAGCCAGCTCTTCTTTGGCGAAGTGGAGTTGGCACTTCAGATCAGCGCTGTCATCCTTTGAGACACAAAAAAATATGAAGTTATAAAAACAGGAGATTTGACTTGAAGTAAGACATGATGAAAAGTTTCAAACCTCCATCTGCTGAGAAAGCCTCTTCTCTGCTTTACTGGCTGCTGATCTCATGCTTCTCTTCTTCACCAAGCTCTGATCGATAAAAACACAGAAAACAATCCATAATATCAATATCATATAAATATCAATATATTACCAAAATCATATCAACGTCAACATTATATCAAAAATCATAATCATAACAATAACATATCAATATCATATTAATATCATTAATATCATATCAAAATCATATCAGGTCTCTCTTGTAAATGAGTCCTCGAGGCTCAGTGGGATTTACATGTCTAAATAAAGGTTGAATGAATGAATATCAATGTAATTTCAATATCGTATCAATATTATATCATAATCTGTAACAATATATCAATATCATATCAATATCATATCAGTATCATATCAATATAAAATCAATATTATATCAAAATCCATAACCATACATAATATCATATCAACCCAAAAAAGTTCAGTCAGGTCATGACGGTTTCTTTTTTTATTGAGATGTTTCGTCCTGGTGAGGTGTTCCAGACACGTCCCACTGGGAGGAGACCCAGAGGAAGACCCAGGACACGCTTGAGGGACTATGTTTCTCAGCTGACCTGGGAACGCCTCGAGATTCCCCCGGAGGAGCTGGACCAAGTGGCTGGGGTGAGGGAAGTCTGGGCCTCCCTACTTAGGCTGCTACCCCCACGACCCGACCCCAGGTAAGCGGAAGAAAATGGATGGATGTTTCGTCCTTCATCCAAAGGACTTCATCAGTCCGAGGAGCCACAAACGATGACTATAACTCATGGATTTTTGCAGTTTTGAGCTGAAATTTGGTGTGATGGTAGTTGACACACAGTACTGTCAAATCAAACATTCACAATGGCCGCCACGTGTCAGTCCCCGTCAAAGTTTCTCCAGGAACTTTCTAGTTTCTGCTCGTTTGGGTTTCTCTGGATTAACATGACAGTGTTCTGGTTTCTGTTTGACTCCTAATGTGAATTTCTGAAAGGATTCTCCGTCCATGTCTCCACGCTGAGCTTCGTGCCACAGATTAGGTGATCTAAGTGGATTTTCCTGCTGGGATCAGAGACCAGCAGCTGTCTCAGCTGAGCCAAGTCCAAAGCCCAGAATCCTGGATTAAACGGAGTCCGGGTCGAAGGCTCAGAGCTTCTCCCAGGTTCCTGGAGGAGCTGAAGGTTCAGTGGTGGTGGTCTTTTAATGAAAGCAGGTCTGAGGAGGGTCGTAGGTCAGAGTGTCTGAGCACCAGCGCCTTTTTGAATTCCATAATACACGCTGATCTCGATTTAGCCGAGTTTATTGCGAGCAGAAACACAGAAATCTATTTTTGTCACCTCTGACCCCCTCGCTGCCGTTTTTCTGCCACCACAGCTGCGCTCAGAGTTCAAGCCTCGACATGCCGGCCTGCTTTGCCCAGCCCCGGCACCAGGCAGCTGCTGGCCCAGCCCTGCTCTCAGATCACCGACCGGCACCAGGGTCCAGTGTCAGTTTGGGGACCGGGGCGACAGCCGGCTGCAGCTGTGTGGGGGGATGGAGAGGATCTTGACCCCAAAGATGTTTCTGAAGGTCGTGTGATGGAAGCTCGTGTTACTGTCGAGGGTCACACTCGCAGATAAACCCATATCTAGAAAACACTCACACTGATCTTTTGCAGCTTTTAAAACATTACAGGTTTTATTCTGAAAACGTTCCCATCACATCAAACTATAATAACTAACGTTCACTTAAAGCAACTTTTGTGTTTAAAAAAAAAAAAAAAACTGTTTATGAACTAAAACAACAAAAACTGGGTCAAGACACCAAGAACCACAAGTTGATCCCTCCTTCCCCCCACGCTGAGGGATTTAAAGAGTTTTTAGTTCTTGAGAAAAGTGTTCTTCTGGACTGGAACTGAACAGTGAATGCTAGTAAACCTAGATGTTTTTGATGCAAGAGATTCAAGTCTGTAGGAGTTACACTGTGCAGAAGAACAGAGGGAAGGTTTATGTTTTTTTCTTGTCTGAGGCAGAGCAGAGTGACAGATCCTGGTGTGTGGAGGGAGACATTTTTATCTACCACCAGGTGCAGTGGTGGAGCTAGGGGGTGGTCAGTGGTGGCTATAGATTAATCTTTAGCCACCCCAGTCATTTGAGGAAACTATACTTTTAAGCAACATAAAACCTAGAAAGCACAGGTACTTCTAATAACAGGAGTTTACATTTATATGGTGGTGGCCATATTGGATTTAGATGTAGCAACACAATTTTCAAAATAAACCTTTCTTACTCTTAGGTGCAGCCACACACCAAAAGTGATGGAGGTATCTCCATTTCCCTCTCTTAGCTCCATGCAGGGGAATAAAACGCAAGAGTTTCCATAAAAGAATGAGAAGGATAAGAAACAGATTTGTGACTGTGTCAAAGAGCTGATTTATGTCCAGTAAGAGTTTTAGAAGAACTCAAAGTGAGCAGTTTGTGAGAAAACACACCAAGATCCACCAGCTGCTCTGAGTGAAGACAAAGATGTTTTGTTCACTTACAGATGTTTTTATCATACCACATAGCGATGGTTTTTAACGGTCTGATACATTTTATCACAACACATACTGAAGGTTTTTAACTCTATGATACATGTTTTTATCACTCCAGGTGTAGATGGTTTTTAACTCTCTGATACATGTTTTTATCACTCCACATGTTG